GCTGAATTTTGCAGGATGTCATGACTGAAGTACAAAAAGGTACCTGGAAACTAGAATGCAGAGGTTTAGAAGGGTCTCCTAGGTATGCCCACCTTTTGTTGTGCAAGTAGGAGCCACATTTCTGGTTGCTACCCCAAGCTAACCCCAATCTGAAAATGGAAGTCCAGAAAATGATTCTGCTAAGCCAAGAATCTATAAAAACACAAGGCATAAAGAGAGCAAAAATGTTGGTGAACATACTAATATTAATGGAATGTAAGAAAGTAGGTAAAATAAAACTGCAAGAAAACATTGCCACTGAACAATAATCATCAAAGTTCTCCAGCAAAAACAGGAGAGTGGAAATACTAATTAATATATACAAAAAATCATTCTTATTAACACAAACCATAAGGTTTATACTGTTAAAATATGTAAAATCAATGTATTTGAACAATAACTATAAGAAAATAAAGGACAATTTAGAGGCACTTTCTACAGAAGGTACTTTGAGTTGGCTGATACTTGTAAATATTACTCATTAGTGGTATTAGATGATCTATCTGCATTTTTAGATTTTTGGCAGTAGTTACACATACCCTAAACTTGTGTTTGCAAAAGCTACTAGTGCCTATAAATTCTGTAACAGATTCACACAGTCCACTGGCCTTCTTAGGTTCAGGCATACAGCTTTGATCCCTCTAGTATCGACCTTGAGCCCAAGGAATGGGAGAAATAGCTTCTTATAAAAGAAAAGCCCCATCAAAGAACATGGTGTGCTTTGAAGTCAATAACCCTGAAGTTGTTTCAGAGTAATAGGAAGACAAACTAATTTTATAGCATCAAAGAGAAATTCTAAATACCAGACATCATAGCTACTGCAACAGCGGGCATAGTTAAAGATTCAAGACAAGGCCATTAAGAAAGAAAATGACCAATGAGAGAAAGAAAACAGTTGATGGTAAAACAGACCATTATATTTACTACCCCATACAAATATTAATAGTAGAAACAGGCATAATCAGGAATTTAATGAGATTGTATAGGGGCTAGTAATAAAGTAGACATAAAATTCTTTATGGATGGGAGTTTATTAATATGCCTCAGAAAATTAATATTTTACAAAATGGAAGCAATGATTATCAGAGAATGGGGAGTAATCATGTATTAATAGTGTGACGAGGAAGTACAAGCCGGTACATCCTAAAAAGCCTATGATATTTCCATTTAGTCTAATGTTTGTTGGTTCTTCTGTAATTCTATGTTTTCATATTCATCCTTTTTAGCCTTTAAATCTATTTTACATTTACTTTTATTCATTTATTTTCAAGATAGGGTCCCATGTAGCCCGTGTTGACTTCAAGCTCACTATGTAGCTGAGAATGATGTTGAACTTCTGATCTTCCTGCCTCCACCTCCCAAATGATGGGATTATATGCATGTGACACCGTGTCTAGCTTATCTTACTAGAGATAGAACACAGAGGCTCATGTATATTAGACAAGCACTCTAACAGACTAGGGGGAGAGGAGGGAGGATTAACTATGGTCAGGATGTACAAATAAATAAATAATTTGATCTCTAAACTACATAAAGAACTCAAGAAGCTTGTCACAAAAAAACCAAATAATCCAATTAAAAAGTAGGGTACAGATCTAAATAGAGAATTCTCAATAGAGAAATCTCAAATGATCAAAAGGCACTTAAGAAATTGCTCAACATCCTTAGCCATCAGGGAAATGCAAATCAAAACAACTCTGAGATACCATCTTACACCTGTCAGAATGACTAAAGTAAAAATCACCAATGGCAGTTTATGCTGGAGAGGATGTGGTGGGGGAAGGGGAGGGCAGGAGGGAGAGGTAACTGGGATTGGCATATAAAATAAGATTGTTTATAATTTAAATAAAAATTAATTTTAAAACTACCAAAAATGAATTAAAGCATTTAGAAAGATTACTTACATTGGGTAAGAAATTGGTGGGAGTTATTTGCAAATCAATGCCCCCTTGAACAAAGGAAGCTTGGATATTTCACTGGGGAATTCTGTACATATACATATAGGAAAGTACTTTAAGCGTAGGCACAATCCTGAGCATGCTCAATTTACAGTCATATTTTAAGAAGAAAAGACGGCACTTACAATCCTAAGCATGCTTAGCTCGAGGTTATGTAACAAACACCTAAAAGTTAAGATGGTGTACAAGAAAATTTGTGGATATGCTTGCTCAATTTGCATTGTAAAAAAGACAAAGAGAGAGATGGAGAATGACTCATAACAAAAAAATGATGAACAGAAAACCTTCGGGCTTGTTCAAATATGTCATAAGATAGTATACGGGAATACTTCTGGGTGTGCTTAGCTGGATCATATAATGGCAGATGAGGATATCTCTTAATACGCTGAACTTTTGCCGAAAAGGATAGTGGACAGTAATGCCTATGGGTAGGCTCAGACTTTTTCCCCAAAACCATACCATTTTCAAACACGTTAAGATGCCCAAGCATCTCACTAATGTCATCTGGTGGTAGAAAACCAACTCTGTGCAGTTATATTCATAAAGTTATTAATGTCCATGTGAATATTTTAGATTTTGTTTCATCTTAACATTTGAAGACATGCTGATGATGTGAAGAAATAGTATAATTGCATTTGGGATCATCAGATGACAACTGAACAATCAGATGTTTCAGTTTCACTGATTGATTTTTATGTTTGTGTTGTATTCATGTCTGTGATATTCTTTTTATTTTGATTGCAGTTAATAAAGATAAAAGAAGCTGGCACAGAAATGTAGATTCCCATTAAGTGAAGATCAAAGGAAGATACCGTGTGTTGTGGAGGTAAAGGCTTCACAGTGACACTGACAGAGAAAAGTAGAGTTCTGTGATGTGATGTTATAAGTGCTGTATGCAAGAAATTAGTCTCCAAACACCAGTGTTGAACACTATCCATGGAAGCTTCAGAAAGTCAGTGTCATTTGTTATTAGTTAGAATTTAATTGGCCTCGTCAAATGCCTACAAAGTTACGAGTACTTCATTTAACTCTGTAAATCTAAAGAAAAATTTTGGGTTAAATCTACCTCTAAATTCAGTGGTGTCTCTGTGTGTGTGTGTGTGTGTGTGTGTGTGTGTGTGTGTGTGTGCGCGTGCACGCACATGTTGTATATATGTGTTCATGTGGGGGTGTGTGGCTCCTTGCATACTGGTCAAGGCCAGGTGTCTTCCTTTATTGTCCATCCCTTCATTTATTGAGATAGATTCTCATGCCTGAACCTGTAGGTAATCTGTTATCTGGATTGTCTGGTCAGTGTGCTGTAGAGACCCATCTGTGTCTGTTCCCTGTCTCTAGGACAAGGTTCAAAGACATGCATTCCCACACCTGGCTTTTTTTGTTATTTTTTTTTATTTGAATTAGAAACAAGATTGTTTTACATGACAATCCCAGTTCCCTTGTCCCTCTTGTCCTCCCCCCACACCACCCCCAACTAAAAGCCTACCTGTCACATATCCTTTCTGCTTCCCCTGAATGGTGACGCCTTCCATAGGGTGTCATCAAAGTATATCGTATCCTTCGGATAGGACCTAGGCCCACCCCCGTGTGTCTTGGCTCAGGGAGTATTCCTTTATGTGGAAGGGGCACCCAAAGTCCACATCTGTGCTAGGGATAAGTACTGAACAACTACAGGAGGTCCTGTAGATTTCCGAGGTTTCCTCACTGAAACCCATGTTCCTGGGGTCTGGATCAGCCCCATGCTGGTATCCCAGCTATCAGTCTGGGGAGCAAGAGTTCCCTGATGTTCAGGTCGGCTGTTTCTGTGGGTTTCACAGCCTGGTCTGGACTCCTTTGCTCTTCACTCATCCTTCTCTGCATCTGGATTCCAGTTCAGTTCAGTGACTAGCTGTGGGTGTCTGCTTCTATTTCCACCAGCTGCTGGACGAGGGCTATTGGTTGGCATATAAGTCAGTCATCAATCTCATTATCAGGGGAGAGCTTTTAAGGTAGCTTCTCCTCTGTTGCTTGAATTGTTAGCTGGTGTCTTCTTTGTAGATCTCCAGACATTTCCCTAGTACCTGATTTCTCTGTAGTCTTATCTTGCTCTCTTCTGTTCTTCCCCCAACTCAACCTCCCTGCCCCATCATATCTTTCTCACCAATCCTTTTCTCCCCTTCTCATTCTCCTAGTTCACTTTTCCCTCCCCCCATGCTCCCAATTTGTCAGGAGATCTTTGTCCCTCTCCCCTTCTCTAGGGGAACATGTATGTCTCTCTTAGGTCTTCCCTATTTACCAGCTTCTCTGGCAGTGTGGATTGTAGGCTGGTAATCCTTTACTCTATGTCTAAAATCCACATGTGAGTAAGTACATACCATGTTTGTCTTTTTGTGATTGGGTTACCTTGCTCAGAATGGTTTCTTCAAGTTCCATCCATTTTCCTGCAAATTTCAAGATTCC